GCAGCCGGGGGCTCGGCGCGCGCTCCCGCTCTGCTTGTCGCTCTGCTCCCCGCTCTGCTCCGGCTCTACTTATCGCTCCTTGCTGCTTCCAGTACGGTACGGTCCGGTCCGCACGCGCCCTTGATGCCCTAGTCCCCAGACACCGCCCTCGCCACGCGCCGCCCGGGAACCGCAGTGACTAGGACTGGCTGGAGCCCAGGTTACAGCCCCAAATATTTACCCGCCGTTTTCCCCGCGCACCCTGACAACCCGACCCACGAAGAAGCCTTTGACGTCACCAGAACCCCAAAAAGTTCTACTTTCGGCTGGAGCTCCGCTGCTTCCCGCCCTGCCCTGTGCCCGGAACCTACTGGAGCCTCAGTTCCCTCATCTGTGAAATGAAAACGCCGAGCCTCCAGGGTTTGCTGTGAAGAGTAAAGTAGCTGAACGGCTGAGAGGAGAGACCCAGGGGGTGTCTCCCACGCGTCCCCACCCAACTTCTCCGAGGGACTTAAGAGTTGTGGGTGGAGCCCTGGCGGGGTAGCTCAGTTACTTCAAGCGGGGTCCCAATGTGCCAGGGTTGCCGCAGTTCCATCCCCGTGGGGCACATACAAGAGGCAACCAATGAACGCATGAATAGAGGGAACAACAGATAGATGTTTTTCTCTTTCTCTCAAATCAATAGATAAAAATAAAAAGAGTTGTGGGCCCAGCCGGTGTGGCTCAATGGTTGAGCCAGGACCTATGAACCAGGAGGTTGCGGTTAGATTCCTGGTGGGGACACATGTCCGGTTTCAGACTTGATTACTGGGGCCTGCGGGAGACAGACAATCAATGATTCTCTCTCATCATTGATGTTTCTATCTCTCCCTCTCCCTTCCTCTCTGAATTCAATAGAAACATTTAAAATTTAAAAAGTCTTGTGGGTGGCAAGTGTGGGAGGAAAGAGAGACAGAAGTCAGGGGAGTCCACGGTTTACCAACCTTGACTGCTCCCAGCTGAGCCGGAGCCTGACTACAGTCCCCCGACTTCATTCTGGAGTAGCTCGTTGGGCGGAAGAAATGGCTTCTTAGGTGCAGGGAATACCTGGGCCCCTCTGAGTCCACACTAATGGGCCACCCTGCCCAGTCTCCTGGCAGGGCACCAGTTGTGACTGTGAATGACTCCTCTTGTGCTGCCCAATGGAGTAGCCACTGACCCAGCTGGCTATTTAAATGTAAAGCAATTAAAATAGAATAAAATGAAAAAATGGAGTCTCTCAGTCCAACTAGCCACATGTCAAGCACTCAACTGTCATCATTGCTAAAACTTCTACTGGGAGACCTTGCCAGGGTTTCGGACTCACAAAGCTGGCTTCAGGGAGAAACAAGGGGTCTTATCCTGGTTATCAAGGGCCCCCAAGGTCAGGTCTGGCATGCACCATTTTCAGCCCCAGAGCAACCCTGAGAGGCAGAATTACTGCTTCTGTTTCACAGGTGAGGCGCAGAGAGGTTAAGTAGCCAGCTAGTCAGGAGCTGATGGCAGGGCAGCCCTATCTGGTTTCAGAGCTGCTTTGGGCTTCACCACACCCGCACTTCCTCCACAGGGTAAGGTGGAGAACTGAGCAGACAGGAGGAAGAGGCTCCAAATACTGAAGTAGATAATCCAGGTCCTTAAAGCAGCAAGGCAAGGCATATGCATCTTTCATTTCACCTCTTTTATTTTTTCCTTTTTCCCACCTCCCTTTTTAATTTTTTTTTTCCTCTTTCCCACTGGTGATGCCCTGGGCTAGCAGAGCAGCAACCAGTTGGGCAGCTGAGACCAAGGAACTGCTTTCCAAATGCAGCTCTCCCTCCTGGGTGGGGGCAGGGTACAGGGTGGTGGACAACCCAGCCCAGCTCTTGCATCCCTGTCAGCTGAAGAATCAGCCAAGCTGATCTTCAGAACAGCCTACAAAACAGCTCCAGTTTACAGCAGCCATTCAGTTTACCGAGACAGTGACAATGAAGGTAACCTCTTCTCAGGTTGGCTGGCTGTTGTCATCTGCACCCCATTGTACGGGAACCCACCCAAGCATTGAGGGGCCCCAACTCAAAGTATCACCTCTAGCATGGGTGTTACTCTGGTTATGGAAGACTACTGCTCTCTTCTTTCCTAATTATAATTTTAATATATAGAAAAATATAGAGAATTAGGTCATAGCACTCTGTGTAGCCACCACTGAGAATGAACACATGTTAACATTTTATTTTTGCTTCGGATATTTTTTGAGGTATAATTTACATACAACAAAGTATGCAAAATTTGAGTGTAAGTTTGGTAAATGTTTACCTGTGTAATTACCATCCAGATGAAGATATAGTATTTTATTCTCACCCTAGAAGAGTCCGGATGCCATTTTCCAGTCAGTGGGCCCCCATAAGTAACTCCTATGATAGTTAACCCAAGGATTATTAGTTTGCCAATTCTAAAACTCCTTAAACAAAATCATAGTGTATTCATTTTTTTTATATCTGGCTTCTTTTGCTTAACGTAATGTCAATGCATGGGTGTTGTTGCAGTACTAATCCATCCTCCTGCTGGTGGACATTTAAGTTGTTTGGTTGCTGCTAACTGGTGGGCTGGTCTTACTTGAATAGTGCTGCAGTGAGTATTCTTGCACTTGTCTCCTTGTGTACATGATTAAGAGCCTCTAGGATATACATCTAGAAGTGGAATAACCAAATTGCCTTAGTTATTTCTAGTCATTGACTAATAGAAAGCTGCTGTGAACATCCTTGTACATTTCTTTTGGTGCACATCAATACTCACTTCCCTTGGGTTTATACCTAGGAGGGAAATTTCAGAATCACAGGAGAGACATGTGCTTATCTTTCAAAGATACTATTTTCCAGACTGTTAAATGAATCTACACTCCCAGCAATGTATAGGAATTCCAATTGCTCCATATTTGTGTCAACATATGATATTGTTAGACATGTTAATTTTAACCATTCTGGTGAGTGTATACTGGTATCTTACTGCAATTTTTTCCTTTTTTCTGTGGCTTTAATTTACATTTACCTAAAAAGTAATTAAATTGACCACCTCTTCATGTTTCAAATATCCTATATAATAAAACCCTAATATGCAAATCGACCAAACGACGGAACTACTGGTTGCTATGATGCACACTGACCACCAGGGGGCAGACGCTCAATGAAGGAGCTGACCCCTGGTGGTCAGTGTGCTCCCACAGGGGGTGCGCTGCTCAGCCAGAAGCCAGGCTCAAGGCTGGTGAGCACAGCAGCAGTGGCGGCAGCACTAAGGACCCCTCAGGAAATGTCCGATTGCCAGCTTAGGCCCGCTCCCCGCCAGCCGTCGGACATCCCCCGAGGCATCCCGGACTGCAAGAGGGTGCAGGCTGGGCTGAGGGCCCCCCCTGCACGAATGTCGTGCACCGGGCCTCTAATTTCTTAATAAGAGAAATTAGAATAATACAGATAAAGTTGAAACCCTCTTATCTGTATTTCCCAGTCTTGCCTCCCTCCCTTCCTCCCTCCTCAGAGGCAATCAGTACCCTATTAGTTCATGTTTTTATACCTAAACTATCCTATCTAATAATAGACAAACATGGTAATTAACCATACCTTCGCTACCATCGCCATTGGCTGATCAGCGCGATATGCAAATTAACTGCCAACAAAGATCGCTGCTAATTTGCATACTGCAGGCAGGGCAGGACACCGGGAGCCACCATCCAGGCCCCAGTGTGCGACCCCAGGAGCCGCCGGAAAGCCAGGCTGCAGGCAAGGCGGCCCCCCGGGACCCAGGAGGCCATCGGCAAGGTCTGCAGGCGAAGCAGCAATCAAGCTATGAGGGGGAGGGTGGGGGGTGGAAGGAGCTATAGGAGCAGCTCTGGCTGGAGACTGAAGACTCCGGCTGGAGCAAGGAGCAAAGACTGAAGGCTGCAGCCACAGCGAAGACTGTGTCCAGAGCGAAGATGGAAGGCGGTAGCCAGAGTGAAGGTCTGGGTCCCGGGTGCCAGAGGAAAACTGGTGCTGGCAGCCAGGGGAAAGAAGGCCTATTGCACGAATCTTCATGCAACGGGCCTCTAGTCTATATATATAAAAGACTAATATGCAAAGTGTCCCCTTGGGAGTTCGAGCAGGAGTTCGATTGCTTGCCATGAGTGTGCTGACCACCAGGAGGCAGCATGGAACAAAGGAAGGGTCCAGCTGGCAGCGGGC